TATCTCAACAAGTTCACCAATTATGTCAACAACGACAACATCCGCCTTAACATCTATCTCAACAAGTACACCAATTATTTCCACAACAACAACATCCGCCCTTAAATCTACCTCAACAAGTTCACCAATTATGTCAACAACCACAACATCCGCCTTAACATCTATCTCAACAAGTACACCAATTATTTCCACAACAACAACATCCGCCCTTAAATCTACCTCAACAAGTTCACCAATTATTCCAACAACCACAACACCCGCCTCAACATCTATCTCAACAAGTTCACCAATTATGTCAACAACCACAACATCCGCCTTAACATCTATCTCAACAAGTACACCAATTATTTCCACAACAACAACATCCGCCCTTAAATCTACCTCAACAAGTTCACCAATTATGTCAACAACCACAACATCCGCCTTAACATCTATCTCAACAAGTACACCAATTATTTCCACAACAACAACATCCGCCCTTAAATCTACCTCAACAAGTTCACCAATTATTCCAACAACCACAACACCCGCCTTAACATCTATCTCAACAAGTTCACCAATTATGTCAACAACCACAACATCCGCCTTAACATCTATCTCAACAAGTACACCAATTATTTCCACAACAACAACATCCGCCCTTAAATCTACCTCAACAAGTTCACCAATTATGTCAACAACCACAACATCCACCTTAACATCTATCTCAACAAGTACACCAATTATTTCCACAACAACAACATCCGCCCTTAAATCTACCTCAACAAGTTCACCAATTATTCCAACAACCACAACACCCGCCTTAACATCTATCTCAACAAGTTCACCAATTATGTCAACAACCACAACATCCGCCTTAACATCTATCTCAACAAGTACACCAATTATTTCCACAACAACAACATCCGCCCTTAAATCTACCTCAACAAGTTCACCAATTATGTCAACAACCACAACATCCGCCTTAACATCTATCTCAACAAGTACACCAATTATTTCCACAACAACAACATCCGCCCTTAAATCTACCTCGACAAGTTCACCAATTATTCCAACAACCACAACACCCGCCTTAACATCTATCTCAACAAGTTCACCAATTATGTCAACAACCACAACATCCGCCTTAACATCTATCTCAACAAGTACACCAATTATTTCCACAACAACAACATCCGCCCTTAAATCTACCTCAACAAGTTCACCAATTATGTCAACAACCACAACATCCGCCTTAACATCTATCTCAACAAGTACACCAATTATTTCCACAACAACAACATCCGCCCTTAAATCTACCTCAACAAGTTCACCAATTATTCCAACAACCACAACACCCGCCTTAACATCTATCTCAACAAGTTCACCAATTATGTCAACAACCACAACATCCGCCTTAACATCTATCTCAACAAGTACACCAATTATTTCCACAACAACAACATCCGCCCTTAAATCTACCTCAACAAGTTCACCAATTATGTCAACAACCACAACATCCGCCTTAACATCTATCTCAACAAGTACACCAATTATTTCCACAACAACAACATCCACCCTTAAATCTACCTCGACAAGTTCACCAATTATTCCAACAACCACAACACCCGCCTTAACATCTATCTCAACAAGTTCACCAATTATGTCAACAACCACAACATCCGCCTTAACATCTATCTCAACAAGTACACCAATTATTTCCACAACAACAACATCCGCCCTTAAATCTACCTCAACAAGTTCACCAATTATGTCAACAACCACAACATCCGCCTTAACATCTATCTCAACAAGTACACCAATTATTTCCACAACAACAACATCCGCCCTTAAATCTACCTCAACAAGTTCACCAATTATTCCAACAACCACAACACCCGCCTTAACATCTATCTCAACAAGTTCACCAATTATGTCAACAACCACAACATCCGCCTTAACATCTATCTCAACAAGTACACCAATTATTTCAACAAGCACAACATCCGTCTTAACATCTATCTCGACAACTACACCAATCATTTCAACAACTACCACATCCGCCCTCACATCTATCTCCACAAGTACACCAGTTATTTCAACAAGCACAACATCCTTCTTAACATCTATCTCGACAAGTACACCAATTATTTCAACAACCACAACATCTATCTCAACAAGTACACCAATTATTTCAACAAGCACAACATCTGTCTTAACATCTATCTCGACAAGCACACCAATCATTTCAACAACTACCACATCCGCCCTCACATCTATCTCCACAAGTACACCAGTTATTTCAACAAGCACAACATCCTTCTTAACATCTATCTCGACAAGTACATCAGTTATTCCAACAACCACAACACCCGCCTTAACATCTATCTCAACAAGTTCACCAATTATGTCAACAACCACAACATCCGCCTTAACATCTATATCAACAAGTACACCAATTATTTCAACAACCACAACATCCGCCTTTAAATCTATCTCAACAAGTACACCAATTATTTCAACAACCACAACATCCGCCTTAACATCTATCTCGACAAGTACACCAATTATTTCAACAACCACAACATCCGCCCTAACATCTATCTCAACAAGTACACCAATCATTTCAACAAGCACAACATCCGTCTTAACATCTAGCTCCACAAGTACACCAATTATTTCAACAAGCACAACATCCGTCTTAACATCTATCTCCACAAGTACACCAATTATTTCAACAAGCACAACATCCGCCCTAACATCTATCTCAACAAGTACACCAATTATTTCAACAAGCACAACATCCGCCCTAACATCTATCTCAACAAGTACACCAATTATTCCAACAAGCACAACATCCGTCTTAACATCTATTTCCACAAGTACACCAATTATTTCAACAACCACAACATCCGCCCTAACATCTATCTCAACAAGTAAACCAGTTATTTCAACAAGCACAACATCCGCCCTAACATCTATCTCAACAAGTACACCAATTTTTTCAACAAGCACAACATCCGTCTTAACATCTATCTCCACAACTACACCAATCATTTCAACAACTGCAACATCCACCCTAACATCTATCTCAACAAGTACACCAATTATTTCAACAAGCACAACATCCGTCTTAACATCTATCTCGACAAGTACACCAATTATTTCAACAACTACCACATCCGCCCTAACATCTATCTCAACAAGTACACCAATTATTTCAACAACTACCACATCCGCCCTAACATCTATCTCAACAAGTACACCAATTATTTCAACAACCACAACATCTGCCTTAACATCTATTTCAACAAGTACACCAATTATTTCAACAACCACAACATCCGCCCTTACATCTATCTCAACAAGTGCACAAATTATTTCAACAAGCACAACATCCGTCTTAACATCTATCTCAACAAGTACACCAATCATTTCAACAACTACCACATCCGCCCTAACATCTATCTCAACAAGTACACCAATCATTTCAACAACTACCACATCCGCCCTAACATCTATCTCAACAAGTACACCAATCATTTCAACAACCACAACATCCGCCCTAACATCTATCTCAACAAGTACACCAATCATTTCAACAACTACCACATCCGCCCTCACATCTATCTCCACAAGTACACCAGTTATTTCAACAAGCACAACATCCTTCTTAACATCTATCTCGACAAGTACATCAGTTATTCCAACAACCACAACACCCGCCTTAACATCTATCTCAACAAGTTCACCAATTATGTCAACAACCACAACATCCGCCTTAACATCTATCTCAACAAGTACACCAATTATTTCAACAACCACAACATCCGCCTTTAAATCTATCTCAACAAGTACACCAATTATTTCAACAACCACAACATCCGCCTTAACATCTATCTCGACAAGTACACCAATTATTTCAACAACCACAACATCCGCCCTAACATCTATCTCAACAAGTACACCAATCATTTCAACAAGCACAACATCCGTCTTAACATCTATCTCCACAAGTACACCAATTATTTCAACAAGCACAACATCCGTCTTAACATCTATCTCCACAAGTACACCAATTATTTCAACAAGCACAACATCCGCCCTAACATCTATCTCAACAAGTACACCAATTATTTCAACAAGCACAACATCTGCCCTAACATCTATCTCAACAAGTACACCAATTATTCCAACAAGCACAACATCCGTCTTAACATCTATTTCCACAAGTACACCAATTATTTCAACAACCACAACATCCGCCCTAACATCTATCTCAACAAGTAAACCAGTTATTTCAACAAGCACAACATCCGCCCTAACATCTATCTCAACAAGTACACCAATTTTTTCAACAAGCACAACATCCGTCTTAACATCTATCTCCACAACTACACCAATCATTTCAACAACTGCAACATCCACCCTAACATCTATCTCAACAAGTACACCAATTATTTCAACAAGCACAACATCCGTCTTAACATCTATCTCGACAAGTACACCAATTATTTCAACAACTACCACATCCGCCCTAACATCTATCTCAACAAGTACACCAATTATTTCAACAACTACCACATCCGCCCTAACATCTATCTCAACAAGTACACCAATTATTTCAACAACCACAACATCTGCCTTAACATCTATTTCAACAAGTACACCAATTATTTCAACAACCACAACATCCGCCCTTACATCTATCTCAACAAGTGCACAAATTATTTCAACAAGCACAACATCCGTCTTAACATCTATCTCAACAAGTACACCAATCATTTCAACAACTACCACATCCGCCCTAACATCTATCTCAACAAGTACACCAATCATTTCAACAACTACCACATCCGCCCTAACATCTATCTCAACAAGTACACCAATCATTTCAACAACTACCACATCCGCCCTAACATCTATCTCAACAAGTACACCAATCATTTCAACAACTACCACATCCGCCCTAACATCTATCTCAACAAGTACACCAATCATTTCAACAACTACCACATCCGCCCTAACATCTATCTCCACAAGTACACCAGTTATTTCAACAAGCACAGCATCTGTCTTAACATCTATCTCAACAAGTACACCAATTATTTCAACAAGCACAACATCCGTCTTTACATCTATTCCGACAAGTACACCAATTATTTCAACAACTACAACATCTATCTCAACAAGTTCAACACTTATTTAAACTACCAAAGCACCCATATTAACATTTATCTCAACAAGTACACCAATTATTTCAACAACCACAACACCCGCCTTAACATCTATCTCAACAAGTACACCAGTTATTTCAACAACCACAACATCCGCCCTAACATCTATCTCAACAAGTACACCAGTTATTTCAACAAGCACAACGTCCGCCCTAACATATATCTCGACAAGCACACCAATCATTTCAACAACCACAACATCCGCCCTAACATCTATCTCAACAAGTACACCAATTATTTCAACAAGCACAACATCCGTCTTAACACCTATCTCGACAAGTACACAAATTATTTCAACAACCACAACATCCACCCTAACATCTATCTCAACAAGTACACCAATTATTTCAACAAGCACAACGTCCGCCCTAACATATATCTCGACAAGCACACCAATCATTTCAACAACCACAACATCCGCCCTAACATCTATCTCAACAAGTACACCAATTATTTCAACAACTGCAACATCCGCCCTAACATCTATCTCAACAAGTACACCAATCATTTCAACAACCACAACATCCACCCTATCATTTATCTCAACAAGTACACCAATTATTTCAACAACTACCACATCCGCCTTAACATCTATCTCAACAAGTACACCAATTATTTCAACAAGCACAACATCCGTCTTAACATCTATCTCGACAAGTACACCAATTATTTCAACAACCGCAACATCCACCCTAACATCTATCTCAACAAGTACACAAATTATTTCAACAACTACCACATCCGCCCTAACATCTATCTCACCAAGTACACCAATTATTTCAACAAGCACAACATCCGTCTTAACATCTATCTCGACAAGCACACCAATCATTTCAACAACCACAACATCCGCCCTAACATCTATCTCAACAAGTACATCAATTATTTCAACAACAACATCCATCTTAACATCTATCTCCACAAGTACACCAATTATTTCAACAACCACATCATCCGCCCTAACATCTATCTCAACAAGTACATCAATTATTTCAACAACAACATCCATCTTAACATCTATCTCCACAAGTACACCAATTATGTCAACAACCACAACATCCGCCTTAACATCTATCTCAACAAGTACACCAATTATTTCCACAACAACAACATCCGCCCTTAAATCTACCTCAACAAGTTCACCAATTATGTCAACAACCACAACATCCGCCTTAACATCTATCTCAACAAGTACACCAATTATTTCCACAACAACAACATCCACCCTTAAATCTACCTCGACAAGTTCACCAATTATTCCAACAACCACAACACCCGCCTTAACATCTATCTCAACAAGTTCACCAATTATGTCAACAACCACAACATCCGCCTTAACATCTATCTCAACAAGTACACCAATTATTTCCACAACAACAACATCCGCCCTTAAATCTACCTCAACAAGTTCACCAATTATGTCAACAACCACAACATCCGCCTTAACATCTATCTCAACAAGTACACCAATTATTTCCACAACAACAACATCCGCCCTTAAATCTACCTCAACAAGTTCACCAATTATTCCAACAACCACAACACCCGCCTTAACATCTATCTCAACAAGTTCACCAATTATGTCAACAACCACAACATCCGCCTTAACATCTATCTCAACAAGTACACCAATTATTTCAACAAGCACAACATCCGTCTTAACATCTATCTCGACAACTACACCAATCATTTCAACAACTACCACATCCGCCCTCACATCTATCTCCACAAGTACACCAGTTATTTCAACAAGCACAACATCCTTCTTAACATCTATCTCGACAAGTACACCAATTATTTCAACAACCACAACATCTATCTCAACAAGTACACCAATTATTTCAACAAGCACAACATCTGTCTTAACATCTATCTCGACAAGCACACCAATCATTTCAACAACTACCACATCCGCCCTCACATCTATCTCCACAAGTACACCAGTTATTTCAACAAGCACAACATCCTTCTTAACATCTATCTCGACAAGTACATCAGTTATTCCAACAACCACAACACCCGCCTTAACATCTATCTCAACAAGTTCACCAATTATGTCAACAACCACAACATCCGCCTTAACATCTATATCAACAAGTACACCAATTATTTCAACAACCACAACATCCGCCTTTAAATCTATCTCAACAAGTACACCAATTATTTCAACAACCACAACATCCGCCTTAACATCTATCTCGACAAGTACACCAATTATTTCAACAACCACAACATCCGCCCTAACATCTATCTCAACAAGTACACCAATCATTTCAACAAGCACAACATCCGTCTTAACATCTAGCTCCACAAGTACACCAATTATTTCAACAAGCACAACATCCGTCTTAACATCTATCTCCACAAGTACACCAATTATTTCAACAAGCACAACATCCGCCCTAACATCTATCTCAACAAGTACACCAATTATTTCAACAAGCACAACATCCGCCCTAACATCTATCTCAACAAGTACACCAATTATTCCAACAAGCACAACATCCGTCTTAACATCTATTTCCACAAGTACACCAATTATTTCAACAACCACAACATCCGCCCTAACATCTATCTCAACAAGTAAACCAGTTATTTCAACAAGCACAACATCCGCCCTAACATCTATCTCAACAAGTACACCAATTTTTTCAACAAGCACAACATCCGTCTTAACATCTATCTCCACAACTACACCAATCATTTCAACAACTGCAACATCCACCCTAACATCTATCTCAACAAGTACACCAATTATTTCAACAAGCACAACATCCGTCTTAACATCTATCTCGACAAGTACACCAATTATTTCAACAACTACCACATCCGCCCTAACATCTATCTCAACAAGTACACCAATTATTTCAACAACTACCACATCCGCCCTAACATCTATCTCAACAAGTACACCAATTATTTCAACAACCACAACATCTGCCTTAACATCTATTTCAACAAGTACACCAATTATTTCAACAACCACAACATCCGCCCTTACATCTATCTCAACAAGTGCACAAATTATTTCAACAAGCACAACATCCGTCTTAACATCTATCTCAACAAGTACACCAATCATTTCAACAACTACCACATCCGCCCTAACATCTATCTCAACAAGTACACCAATCATTTCAACAACTACCACATCCGCCCTAACATCTATCTCAACAAGTACACCAATCATTTCAACAACCACAACATCCGCCCTAACATCTATCTCAACAAGTACACCAATCATTTCAACAACTACCACATCCGCCCTCACATCTATCTCCACAAGTACACCAGTTATTTCAACAAGCACAACATCCTTCTTAACATCTATCTCGACAAGTACATCAGTTATTCCAACAACCACAACACCCGCCTTAACATCTATCTCAACAAGTTCACCAATTATGTCAACAACCACAACATCCGCCTTAACATCTATCTCAACAAGTACACCAATTATTTCAACAACCACAACATCCGCCTTTAAATCTATCTCAACAAGTACACCAATTATTTCAACAACCACAACATCCGCCTTAACATCTATCTCGACAAGTACACCAATTATTTCAACAACCACAACATCCGCCCTAACATCTATCTCAACAAGTACACCAATCATTTCAACAAGCACAACATCCGTCTTAACATCTATCTCCACAAGTACACCAATTATTTCAACAAGCACAACATCCGTCTTAACATCTATCTCCACAAGTACACCAATTATTTCAACAAGCACAACATCCGCCCTAACATCTATCTCAACAAGTACACCAATTATTTCAACAAGCACAACATCTGCCCTAACATCTATCTCAACAAGTACACCAATTATTCCAACAAGCACAACATCCGTCTTAACATCTATTTCCACAAGTACACCAATTATTTCAACAACCACAACATCCGCCCTAACATCTATCTCAACAAGTAAACCAGTTATTTCAACAAGCACAACATCCGCCCTAACATCTATCTCAACAAGTACACCAATTTTTTCAACAAGCACAACATCCGTCTTAACATCTATCTCCACAACTACACCAATCATTTCAACAACTGCAACATCCACCCTAACATCTATCTCAACAAGTACACCAATTATTTCAACAAGCACAACATCCGTCTTAACATCTATCTCGACAAGTACACCAATTATTTCAACAACTACCACATCCGCCCTAACATCTATCTCAACAAGTACACCAATTATTTCAACAACTACCACATCCGCCCTAACATCTATCTCAACAAGTACACCAATTATTTCAACAACCACAACATCTGCCTTAACATCTATTTCAACAAGTACACCAATTATTTCAACAACCACAACATCCGCCCTTACATCTATCTCAACAAGTGCACAAATTATTTCAACAAGCACAACATCCGTCTTAACATCTATCTCAACAAGTACACCAATCATTTCAACAACTACCACATCCGCCCTAACATCTATCTCAACAAGTACACCAATCATTTCAACAACTACCACATCCGCCCTAACATCTATCTCAACAAGTACACCAATCATTTCAACAACTACCACATCCGCCCTAACATCTATCTCAACAAGTACACCAATCATTTCAACAACTACCACATCCGCCCTAACATCTATCTCAACAAGTACACCAATCATTTCAACAACTACCACATCCGCCCTAACATCTATCTCCACAAGTACACCAGTTATTTCAACAAGCACAGCATCTGTCTTAACATCTATCTCAACAAGTACACCAATTATTTCAACAAGCACAACATCCGTCTTTACATCTATTCCGACAAGTACACCAATTATTTCAACAACTACAACATCTATCTCAACAAGTTCAACACTTATTTAAACTACCAAAGCACCCATATTAACATTTATCTCAACAAGTACACCAATTATTTCAACAACCACAACACCCGCCTTAACATCTATCTCAACAAGTACACCAGTTATTTCAACAACCACAACATCCGCCCTAACATCTATCTCAACAAGTACACCAGTTATTTCAACAAGCACAACGTCCGCCCTAACATATATCTCGACAAGCACACCAATCATTTCAACAACCACAACATCCGCCCTAACATCTATCTCAACAAGTACACCAATTATTTCAACAAGCACAACATCCGTCTTAACACCTATCTCGACAAGTACACAAATTATTTCAACAACCACAACATCCACCCTAACATCTATCTCAACAAGTACACCAATTATTTCAACAAGCACAACGTCCGCCCTAACATATATCTCGACAAGCACACCAATCATTTCAACAACCACAACATCCGCCCTAACATCTATCTCAACAAGTACACCAATTATTTCAACAACTGCAACATCCGCCCTAACATCTATCTCAACAAGTACACCAATCATTTCAACAACCACAACATCCACCCTATCATTTATCTCAACAAGTACACCAATTATTTCAACAACTACCACATCCGCCTTAACATCTATCTCAACAAGTACACCAATTATTTCAACAAGCACAACATCCGTCTTAACATCTATCTCGACAAGTACACCAATTATTTCAACAACCGCAACATCCACCCTAACATCTATCTCAACAAGTACACAAATTATTTCAACAACTACCACATCCGCCCTAACATCTATCTCACCAAGTACACCAATTATTTCAACAAGCACAACATCCGTCTTAACATCTATCTCGACAAGCACACCAATCATTTCAACAACCACAACATCCGCCCTAACATCTATCTCAACAAGTACATCAATTATTTCAACAACAACATCCATCTTAACATCTATCTCCACAAGTACACCAATTATTTCAACAACCACATCATCCGCCCTAACATCTATCTCAACAAGTACACCAATTATTTCAACAAGCACAACATCTGTCTTAACATCTATGTCAACAAGTACACCAATTATATCAACAACCACAACACCCGGCTTAACATCTGTCTCAACAAGTACACCAATTATTTCAACTACCACAACATTTGCCCTAACATCTATCTCGACAAGTACACCAATTATTTCAACAACAACAACACCAGGCTTAACATCTGTTTCAACAAGTACACCAATTATTTCAACTACAACAACATCCGCCCTAACATCTATCTCAACAAGTACACCAATTATTTCAACTACCACAACATTTGCCCTAACATCTATCTCGACAAGTACACCAATTATTTCAACAACAACAACACCAGGCTTAACATCTGTTTCAACAAGTACACCAATTATTTCAACTACAACAACATCCGCCCTAACATCTATCTCCACAAGTACACCAATTATTTCAACAACCACAACATATATTTCAACAAGTTCAACAATTATTTCGACAACCACAGGACCCATATAAACATCTGTCTCAACAAGTACACCAATTATTTCAACAACCACAACACCCGCCTTTACATCTATCTCAACAAGTACACCAATTATTTCAACAACCACAACATCCACCTAACATCTATCTCAACAAGTACACCAATTATTTCAACAAGCACAACATCCGTCTTAACATCTATCTTGTCAAGTACACCAATTATTTCAACAACCACAACATCCACACTAACATCTATCTCAACAAGTACACCAATTATTTCAACAAGCACAACATCCGTCTTAAAATCTATCTCGACAAGCACACCAATCATTTCAACAAGCAAACCATCCGCCCTGACATCTATCTCAACAAGTACACCAATTATTTCAACAAGCACAACATCCGTCTTAACATCTATCTTGACAAGCACACCAATCATTTATACAAACACAACATCCGCTCTAACATCTATCTCAACAAGTACACCAATTATTTCAACAAGTACAATATCCGTCTTAACATCTATCTCCACAAGTACACCAACAATTATTTCAACAAGCACAACATCCGCCCTAACATCTATCTCAACAAATACACCAATTATTTCAACAAGCACAACATCCGTCTTAACATTTATCTCGACAAGTACACCAATTATTTCAACAACCACAACACCTACCTTAACATCTATCTCAACAAGTACACAAATTATTTTAACAACCACAACACCCACCTTAACATCTATCTCAACAAGTACAGCAATTATTTCAACAACCACAACACCCGCCTTAACATCTATCTTTACAAGTACACCAATTATTTCAACCACCACAACACCCGCCTTAACATCTATCTCAACAAGTACACCAATTATTTCAACTACCACAACATCCGCCCTAACATCTATCTCGACAAGTACACCAATTATTTCAACAACAACAACAACAACAACACCAGGCTTAACATCTGTCTCAACAAGTACACCAATTATTTCAACTACCACAACATCCGCCCTAACATCTATCTCAACAAGTACACCAATTATTTCAACAACTACCACATCCGCCCTAACATCTATTTCCACAAGGACACCAGTTGTTTTCAACAAGCACAGCATCATTCTTAACATCTATATCGACAAGTACAGCAATTATTTTAACAACCAAAACATCTATCTCAACAAGTTCAACAATTATTTCAACAACAATAGCACCCATATTTACATCTATCTCAACAAGTACACCAATTATTTGAACAACCATAACACCCGCCTTAACATATATCTCAACAAGTACACCAATTATTTCAACAACCACAACATCCGCCCTATCATATATCTCAACAAGTACACCAATTATTTCAACAAGCACAACATCCGTCTTAACAACTATCTCGACAAGCACACAAATCATTTCAACAACCACAACATCTGCCCTAACATCTATCTCAACAAGTACACCAATTATTTCAACAACCACGACATCCGTCTTAACATCTATCTCGACAAGCACACCAATTATTTCAACAAGCACAACATCTGCCCTAACATCTTTCTCAACAAACACACCAATTATTTCAACAGTCACAACATCCGTCTTAACATCTATCTCCACAAGTACACCAATTATTTCAACAACCACAACATCCGCCCTAACATTTCTCTCAACAAGTACACCAATTATTTCAACAAGCACAACATCCGTCTTAAAATCTATCTCGACAAGCACACCAATTATTTCAACAACCACAACATCCACCCTAACATCTATCTCATCAAAAACACCAATTATTTCAACAAGCACAACATCCGTCTTAACATCTATCTCGACAAGCACACCAATCATTCCAACAACCACAACATCCGCCCTAACATCTATCTCAAAAAGTACACCAATTATTTCAACAAGCACACCATCCGTCTTAACATCTATCTCCACAAGTACACGAATTATTTCAACAACCACAACATCCGCCCTAACATCTACCTCAACAAGTACACCAATTATTTCAACAAGCACAACATCCGTCTTAACATCTATCTCGACAAGCACACCAATTATTTCAACAACCACAACATCCGCCCTAACATGTATCTCAACAAGTATACCAATTATTTCAACAAGCACAACATCCGTCTTAACATCTATCTCGACAAGCACATCAATCATTTCAACAACCACAAAATCCGCCCTAACATCTATCTCAACAAGTACACCAAGTATTTCAACAAGCACAACATCCGTCTTAACATCTATCTCCACAAGTACACCAATTATTTCAACAACCACAACATCCGCCTTAACATCTATCAACAAGCACACCAATCATTTCAACAACCACAACATCCGCCCTAACATCTATCTCAACAAGTACACCAATTATTTCAACAAGCACAACATCTGTCTTAACATCTATCTCGACAAGTACACCAATTATTTTAACAACAACAACACCAGGCTTTTCATCTGTCTCAACAAGTACACCAATTATTTCAACTACCACAACATCCGCCCTAACTTCTATCTCAACAAGTACACCAATCATTTCAACAACTACCACATCGGCCCTAACATCTATCTCAACAAGTACACCAATTATTTCAACAACCACAACATCCGCCCTTACATCTATCTCAACAAGTACACCAATTATTTCAACAAGCACAACATCCATCTTAACATCTATCTCGACAAGCACACTAATCATTTCAACAACCACAACATCCGCCCTAACATCTATCTCAACAAGTACACCAATTATTTCAACAAGCACAACATCCGTCTTAACATCTATCTCCACAAGTACACCAATTATTTCAACAACCACAACATCCGCCCTAACATCTATCTCAACAAGTGCACCAATTATTTCAACAAGCACAACATCCGCTTTTAACATCTATCAACAAGCACACCAATCATTTCAACAACCACAACATCCGCCCTAACATCTATCTCAACAAGTACACCAATTATTTCAACAAGCACAACATCTGTCTTAACATCTATCTCGACAAGTACACCAATTATTTTAACAACAACAACACCAGGCTTTTCATCTGTCTCAACAAGTACACCAATTATTTCAACTACCACAACATCCGCCCTAACATCTATCTCGACAAGTACACCAATTATTTCAACAACAACAACAACAGGCTTAACATCTGTCTCAACAAATACACCAATTATTTCAACAAGCACAACATCCGCCCTAACATCTATCAACAAGCACACCAATCATTTCAACAACCACAACATCCGCCCTAACATCTATCTCAACAAGTACACCAATTATTTCAGCATCCACAACACCCGCCTTAACATCTATCTCAACAAGTACACCAATTATTTCAACAAGCACAACATCCGCCCTAACATCTCACTCAACAAGTACACCAATTATTTCAACAACTGCAACATCCGCCCTAATATCTATCTCAACATGTACAATTATTTCAAAAAGCACAACTTTCCGCCCCAACATCTATCCCAACAGAATGATAACCCTATTATTTTAAGGGAAGACTCCAACTATACTTTATAAACTTCTGAATCAATTTACAAATTCCCACTACAGGTCGCACCGGCAACAAAGACATGGGTGGATTTTTGATTTATTAATTGTCTGTCAGTACGTCCCTGCCAAAAACTGCAGGACAGTTTGTAGCACAAGTCAAACCTCTTAAGTAAGGAGGAATTGTTTACGGAAATAATGTTCTCTATGACAATTCATGTCATCAAATAAAGAGAAATACCGGGAGTCCAGTTTTACACAGAAGGGATGTAAAAGAATTATGAAGACTCTTCCAATTATGTTTATTTTTGTGATATGAATTATATTTAGTTTTCAATTAATACTGTATCTGATTTTTCTATTTGTTTAATGGTATCATGCAACTTTGAACTGTTCTCGTAATAACGACATCCTTTGAGACTTGTATGTAAACATTATATACTGTTGTAACTGGTTTTATGAATTTACATGAAGAGGGTAGATTTCAGTATTTAATGTCTAATGACAGAATTGTCTCTTTTACTGCAAAAGCCTGTGCCGGATGCTAAATGAAGAGAACATTTAATTTACAAAACATGATTTATACATGTATTTATATATAAACACATGACTATAACTACCTTGGACTGTATTTTAATGAACACCGGGACTATAATGAATCAGTAAAAATACTCGCAAAATCTGGCGACCGGGCTCTTGGAGCGATGATTGCCAAATTTAAATCCTTTGGAGGATTTCCATGTAAGAAGAACATTTATATTTTAACATGGATAAATTGCTTATATTTTGTACACCATTTTAAAAATGAATTTTAATGTACAATATTTTGTAGTCTCTCAAAAGCCGGTGTAAAGGGGTAGGAGGTCCTATCAAATTATGTTCCTACTCTCCATTGATTTATATGGTGACCTAAATACAACTCTTTCCCTCATTATCTTATACGCAATCAGGGCCAGTAAGGGCTGTTAAGAAGGGGGACCATAATCCATCATTTCTTTCACACCGGCAACAGCTTGATGTCAAAGACAAGGAGACTTTAATAAACAATATATACTATCAAAAGTGTCTTATTGGCCCATAGGGGGCCTTGGGTGATTTTAATAGTGTAATATTGTTTAATACATTTAATTGTATTTTAACCCACGGTTCTAAAATAATATTATAAATAATACAAAAATCAATAAATAAAAAATGAAATGAATAAATATCGTCTTGACTTTAATTATTAAGTACATGAAAACAGCTAAGCAATTACTATAACTTTAGTTATTGTGTTGAATGTTTTTTGTATTGCGATTAGTCCGATTAAAAGTCTTGCTTGACTGGTTGCAAAGTATGGAAAATACAAGGGACGGGTGCAATATGGGGCAAATAACCCTGTGGCCAGAATGAATTTTAGGTCCAAAATGAAAATTAAATCGTTACATACTCTGGAAAATATGCAAGTGTTTTGGTCAAGTGAAAAATGATTTCGGGGCAAGTGATTCGGGATGGTCTTCATAGATTTTTAGCCTCTGACCCCCACCCCTATCAGGCAGAGAGGGGGTATATTATGAAAAATAAATAATGATTTTAAAGTATTTTTCTTTAAATTACTTCATTTTGTGATTGCCTTGAGCCTTGAAATTGTGTAAAACACATTTTAGAAGTCGTGTCTAGTGAGAAAGTAACATTGTGACCCAACTATCTTGCAATAATTCATAGTTTGAGGGGCCAAGTATAGGATGTCCAGGACTGTATCTCAAGAATGTGATGACCTAGCGTCCCTAGAAATTTATAGTAATATAAGTAGAAGTGCTTATCACAGAAAGAAAACATGGATTAAGTAGATCTCAACATCGATCTCAACAAGTACACCAATCATGTCAACAACCACAACACCTACCCACCTTAACACCTATCTTGACAAGTACACTGTCAACAACCACACCATCCGCCCTAACATCTATCTCAACAAGTACACCAATCATTTCAACAACACCCACCTTAACATCTATCTCAACAAGTACACCATTTATGTCAACACCCACAACATCCGTCTTAACATCTATCTCAATAAGTACACCAATTATTTCAACAACCACAACACCTGCCTTAACATCTATCTCGACAAGTACACCAATTATTTTAACAACAACAACACCAGGCTTTACATCTGTCTCAACAAGTACACCAATTATTTCAACTACCACAACATCCGCCCTAACTTCTATCTCAACAAGTACACCAGATTTTTCAACAAGCACAGCATCAGTCTTAACATCTATCTCGACAAGTACACCAGTTATTTCAACAACCACAACATCTATCTCAACAAGTTCAACAATTATTTCAACAACAACAGCACCCATATTTACATCTATCTCAACAAGTACACCAATTATTTGAACAACCACAACACCTGCCTTAACATCTATCTCGACAAGCACACCAATTATTTCAACAACCACAACATCCACCCTTACATCTATCTCAACAAGTACACCAATCATTTCAACAAGCACAACATCCGCCCTATAATCTATCTCAACAAGTAATCCAATTATTTCAAGAAGCACAACATCCGTCTTAACATCTATCTCAACAAGTACACCAATTATTTCAACAAGCACAACATCCGTCTTAAAATCTATCTCCACAAGTACACCAATTATTTCAACAACAACAACAACAACAGGCTTAACATCTGTCTCAACAAATACACCAATTATTTCAACAAGCACAACATCCGCCTTAACATCTATCTCAACAAGTAAACCAATCATTTCAACAACAACAACTACCGCCCTAACATCTATCTCAACAAGTACACCAATTATTTCAAGAACCACAACATCCGCCCTAACATCTATCGCAACAAGTACAACAATCATTTCAACAAGCACAACACCCACCTTAACATCTATCTCAATAAGTACACCAATCATTTCAACAAGCACAACACCCACCTTAACATCTATCTCAACAAGTACACCGATTATTTCAACAACAACGCCAGCCCTACCATCTATCTCAACAAGTACATCAATTATTTCAACAACCACAACACCCGCCTCAACATCTATCTCAACAAGTTCACCAATTATTTCAACAACCACAACACCAGCCTTAACATCTATCTCAACAAGTACACCAATTATGTCAACAACAACAACACCCGCCCTAACATCTATCTCAACAAGTAAACCAATTATTTCAAGAACCACAACATCCGCCCTAACATCTATCTCAACAAGTACACCAATCATTTCAACAAGCACAACACCCACCTTAACATCTATCTCAACAAGTACACCAATTATATCAGCAACTACCACATCCGCCCTAACATCTATCTCAACAAGTACACCAATCATTTCAACAACCACAACCTGCAGCGTTAACATCTATCTCAACAATTATGTCAACAACCACAGCATCCGTCTTAACATCTATCTCAACAACCTCAACAATTATTTCAACAACTACAACACCAGCCTTAATATCTATCTCAACAAGTACACCAATTATGTCAACAACCACAACATTCGCCTTAACATCTATCTCAACAAGTACACCAATTATTTCAACAACCACAACATCCGACCTAACATCTATCTCAATAAGTACACCAATTATTTCAACAACCACAACATCCGCCTTAACATCTATCTCAACAAGTACACCAATTATTTCAACAACCGCAACATCCCTAACATCTATCTCAACAAGTACACCAATCATTTCAACAAGCGCAACATCCGTCTTAACATCTATCTCAACAAGTACACCAATTATTTCAACAAGCACAACATCCGCCTTAACGTCTATCTCAACAAGTACACCAATTATTTTAACAAGCACAACATCCGCCCTAACATCTACCTCAACAAGTACACCAATTATTTCAACAAGCACAACATCCGTCTTAACATCTATCTCGACAAGCACACCAATTATTTCAACAACCACAACATCCGTCCTTACATGTATCTCAACAAGTATACCAATTATTTCAACAAGCACAACATCCGTCTTAACATCTATCTCGACAAGCACATCAATCATTTCAACAACCACAACATCCGCCCTAACATCTATCTCAACAAGTACACCAATTATTTCAACAAGCACAACATCCGTCTTATCATCTATCTCCACAAGTACACCAATTATTTCAACAACCACAACATCCGCCCTAACATCTATCTCAACAAGTACACCAATTATTTCAACAAGCACAACATCCGCCCTAACATCTATCAACAAGCACACCAATTATTTCAACAAGCACAACATCCGCCTTAACGTCTATCTCAACAAGTACACCAATTATTTTAACAAGCACAACATCCGCCCTAACATCTCTTTTAACTAGTACACCAATTATTTCAACAAGCATAACATTAACCCTAACATCTATCTCAACAAGTACACCAATCATTTCAACAATCACAACATCTGCCTTAACATCTATCTCAACAAGTTAATCAATTATTTCAACAACCACATCATCCGCCCTAACACCTATCTCAACAAGTACACCAATAACACCGACCTTAACATCTATTTTAACAAGTACACCAATTGATTCAACAACCACAACATCCGCCCTAATATCTATTTTAACAAGTACACCAATTATTTCAAAGTGCACAACATCTGCCCTAACATCTTTCTCAACAAGTACACCAATTATTTCATTTAACATAACATCCGCCCTAACATCTATCTCGACAAGTACACCAATTATCTCAACAAGCACAACATCTATCCCGACAAGTACACCAATTATTTCAACAACCACAACATCTATTTCACCAAGTACACCAATTATTTCAACAAGCACAACATCCACCTTAACACCTATCTCAACAAGTACACCGATTAATTCAACAATCACAACATCCGTCTTAACACCTATCTCAACAAGCACACCAATCATTTCAAAGAGCACAACATCCGCCTTAACATCTATCTCAACAAGTACACCAATTATTTCAACAACCACAACATCTGCCTTAACATCTATCTCAACAAGTTAATCAATTATTTCAACAACCACAACATCCGCCCTAACATCTATCTCAACAAGTACACCAATTATTTCAACAAGCACAACATCCGTCTTATCATCTATCTCCACAAGTACACCAATTATTTCAACAACCACAACATCCGCCCTAACATCTATCTCAACAAGTACACCAATTATTTCAACAAGCACAACATCCGCCCTAACATCTATCAACAAGCACACCAATTATTTCAACAAGCACAACATCCGCCTTAACGTCTATCTCAACAAGTACACCAATTATTTTAACAAGCACAACATCCGCCCTAACATCTCTTTTAACTAGTACACCAATTATTTCAACAAGCATAACATTAACCCTAACATCTATCTCAACAAGTACACCAATCATTTCAACAACCACAACACCCGCCTTAACATCTATCTCAACAAGTTAATAAATTATTTCAACAACCACATCATCTGCCCTAACACCTATCTCAACAAGTACACCAATAACACCGACCTTAACATCTATTTTAACAAGTACACCAATTGATTCAACAACCACAACATCCGCCCTAATATCTATTTTAACAAGTACACCAATTATTTCAAAGTGCACAACATCTGCCCTAACATCTTTCTCAACAAGGACACCAATTATTTCATTTAACATAACATCCGCCCTAACATCTATCTCGACAAGTACACCAATTACCTCAACAAGCACAACATCTATCCCGACAAGTACACCAATTATTTCAACAACCACAACATCTATTTCAACAAGTACACCAATTATTTCAACAAGCACAACATCCGCCTTAACACCTATCTCAACAAGTACACCGATTATTTCAACAATCACAACATCCGTCTTAACACCTATCTCAACAAGCACACCAATCATTTCAAAGAGCACAACATCCGCCTTAACATCTATCTCAACAAGTACACCAATTATTTCAACAATCACAACATCCGTCTTAACATTTATCTCAACAAATACACCAATTATTTCAAAGAGCACAACATCCGCCTGAACATCTATCTCAACAAGTACACCAATTATTTCAACAAGCACAACATCCGTCTTAACATCTATCTCGACAAATACACCAATTATTTCACTTAACTTTAACTTTTCTCCTTCAGTTCAAGTTTTCCCATTTTTCTTCAAATCATTCAATTATATGTTTAATAGTGCACTTTTCTTGTTTAAAATTGCACTCTTATTTGAAATTGCACTTTTCAATATTCAAACTTTCAAAGTTGTTGTTGTTGTTGTTATTTAATCATTTCAGTATTCTATATTTCAAATGAATAGTTATACGTCTCATCCATATCTAAATCTTAAATCAAGCTGCGCAAAAACAACTTAAAAAACATCGAATAAAGATAAAATAGCAAACACTGAAGACAACAAACAATAGAAATAATCAATCAAATTGTTTATATTTGAATTGCCAAATACTTCAACTTGAAAAATCAAAATTCTATTGGTCCAATGGTATTTGCGCATGCGCAGTGGTGTTGTTTTGTCATAGGCGCATGTGGATCCTCCTCTCAGATCGGAAACATGAAACATACCTTTAAATTAAAGCGCATGCGCGAAAGAAAGATTCACCTGCAGAATACCAAAAAAAGTTCGAATAGAAAAAAGTGTGTCGACCGAAGATACCTCAAGAAAAGCCGGAGATTGCCGAAGATTTTCTTTGCAAACGAAGTTGGCCGAGGGTACCACGAATGTGAAGAGGACGTCTCTAATTGGTCAAAAAGAGAGGCTCGGCATTCTCCATCAGACTGAATCGGCAAAATTCGGTTGTATGGCTTACCTTCGGCTGAAGGGCCCAACTTCGATTGAATGGAAAATATGCTGTCCCAAAAAAAAGAATTATCGAATAAGAACGTTTGACATGGGATAGGTTTAGGTTGGATATGGGATTTTCTTATTTGACATATTTTCTTTTCTTAACTCGATCTTTGACACTTTTTATGTTTGATATTTTGAAAATTCTTCTGCCATTTAATCCATACATTTTTTATTGTTTGATGTTTTTGAAGATTATTTCAAGCATTTGCAATATATCAAATGAGAATAATATTAATACTATATAGTCCATGGTATGAAATCTCTAGGACGTCTAATAAAGGAGCTGGTAGCCCACTATAGTGCAGTGATATTTGACCTAACATTAACATACCTACATATGTTCCCTAATGATTTTTATTATAACCGTTTAATATACATCCGGCTTTTAGGCCTAATTGTGCCTGCAATTAACAGAGGTAAAAAAACTACCAAAAAATGAAATCCCAATTTGGAGTACACAATGCAACAGAAAATAATACAAAATGATTTTAAATATATGATTTAGGTTTCTAAGCTATTTTGAGGTAATTTTTCCCAAAAATAATGTAATCAGTGAATCGACGTTTTGTATTGTTTCTCAGGTATATCAATAAGATAAATGTTACAAATGAATAAATTATGCTATTTTTTCACAAAATGGGTCTCAATACGTTTTGAGATATGGACTTTGATTCAGCGGTGAACATTATCAATAAGGGAGCGCATATTGCTCTTCCTTGAATAATTGGGACTACAGCTAAGATTATATTTCTCGTAGTTAGATATACCTCAGTTGCTAATAAAACAACCATCAAGACTTGGTCGAATTCATGAATAATTGAAAAAAAATCGTTATCATTATCTTCCTAAAATCTGATTGAATCCAGCGGTAAGGTCAAAGAAGAAACAACTATCAGAAAACTTGATGATAGCCAAAAGTAACGTCGCGGAAGAATTGTAAGGCGTTCGACTGCATATGACTCTAATTGATTATCACACATGCCCTTGGAATACATGAACATTCCAATACCTCTGTAGCATTTAATTAGATACAAATCTTACCTTTTTTATTGTATTATGTTTTATAAAACATGAACAATAATTTGTTGTTAGATCACTTGCAATTATATGGAAAAATTCTGGTAATTAAATGTTTTGAATGGTAAGGAAACTAATATGTTCCCAATCATAAATTACCTAAATATTCCACACAATTTAGTTCAATCGGCTTGGCTCATATTTGAAAAATCAAACAAAATCTGAGAAATACACTTGCATAATTACACTAATTAAACACCGACTACATCTACAGCAAAATTATAGTATATGTTTACATTATGATAATCTATTTTTTGTTCGTATGCTTAGAATAACGGTCTGTGTCTTATAAAATGTATAAAAATCCGAATCAAAATATTTAAGACCCGAAAGCCGGAACTTTTTTTCAGCAAATGGTATTTTAAAAGAATCAAGACATATACACCTTCATAAACATTGCTTCAAATGTTGCTGCGCTATAGTGTGCTACGAATCTTTCATATTCAGAAGTCATACCATGGACTAATACTGTCTCGTGTTAAAGTTGGAGCATTCAGCTCCTCTAGATCTTATCATTGATCCAGCGCCAAAGATAAGACACTTTTTGATCGACCCTCGTATGTACCAGGGCTTAACATGGGGATATCATCACATTCAAATATTTTCATCATAGGATCATCATCCTCTCAGAACAATACTGGTCGCTTCAGTCTCAACCAGTAAAATTATAGGTATTTGTAAAATCTCGATTTATCAGTGATCATCTCTCTATTAACAATCTATTTTTATGGAATAGGGACTATACTGCTAAATAAACTTTGCTAAAATAAAATGTAGCTGGGCGTTTGAAATGGAAAGTTTGCTCCTGCAGCTTACGAATTTGTTTAAAGTCCCCATATAAAGTTAAAACCACTTTGGCTTATATTGTAGTCTTACCCAAAAAAGTGGTTTTTGATAGACGTTTTGTTCCAAAATGTGTGGATTTATTTAAAACTAACTTTTAGAGGTCACACATATCTTTTAATAAGCCACAATTCATACCAATGCATTGCATTCATCCTCGCATGTTTTTTGCCAAAAAATTAAGAAAATCGGTTAATAAATAAGCGAGAAATAAACTTATCAGTGCATGAAAATGGTTCCGAGAAAAATGCATTTAAAAATTTTAGTTATCATAGAAACCAATGATACAATGATATCTAAAACATAAAATATTCTTCCTTTTTACCTGGTTAGACAATCAACATTGGTTTATTATTGAAGTCTAACATATTTAGAAAAGATTGACATAGAAAAATTTCAATTTTTTTCAAAAAGTTTTTGTTACCTTAGTGACATCACTAATGTTTCAAAATATTTTTGAGATGCGAAAACATTGATGTGGCCCATTTAATACGGCATTTTATTATTGAAATAGTGTGTCCTTTGTTCAATCTTTGCATTGGTGTTAAAAAGATAATTTTTTTTGAAATGCATTAAGAAATAGTTGATGATTAAAAAATTTCAACTTTTTTTGAAAAATGGCGGGAAATTTGAATATTTCAGAAATTAAATGCTCACAACTTTTTTTCAAAAAAAGATTTTTTTTCAAAGATCTCTAAGATAACTTTAGACGGGGACTTTAACAATATATTTTCCCATAACATTTTTTGTTTCGTGTTTTAAAGTCATTTAGTGTGTTCCCGATTTTGGAAAATAGTTTAGTATTTGCCATCAAAATCAAAAGGATTATCTCAGAGATAATTGTGAGATTGGTTGATATTCTAGAGTGGACATTGGATTGAGGCCCATGGTCTCAGAATGGACCAAGGGGCTTAGAAAGCAGATCGGCGGCATAAAGAGTGAACATGGTTTGAGAAGTATATCCAGAAATAATACCAATATATCCTTATACCCCAATTTTATTTTTTCTAAATATATGTTTAACCCCTTTTAAACATAAGACCCATTATTTTCTATTTTTAAATTAGGAGTTGTATAAAGAATTTAAACCAATTTCTCTATAATTCCCCAAAATTCATTTTTTGAGACTTGAAATATAATGCCCAAGATTAAAGTATAAAATGCTTTTCTGTAATTAATTTAAAGATTAAGATTCAAAGGGATGATACACCCGATTTTCCAATGGTATATTGCAATCTTTGGCCGAATCGTGTCCTACTATGATCGGAATTTGGAAGCCGTAGGCTGCTGGTCAGCTGCTCAAGCATCCAACCAACTAATTATCAATTAACTACCACCTCCTTTTCAAGTTCGCTCAAATTAATCAATTTCACCGGAATTTCATAAACAATGAAACAATTTGCATATTTGCTCTTAGGGCTCATCAAAAAGTTCATTTAGTGAGTTGAATATTTAGTAAAATCGTAATTAAATAGCCTTTAGTCAAATCTGCATTTACTCCTCAAACTTTGGTATTCACGCCCGGACACTTCATAAGATAATGGTCACGCTTTAGACATGGTGCTGTACATGCGGGATATTATACAAATTATATTTGTGATTGTATCTCAATATTACTATGGAAGTGATGGCATCGTTATAGGTAAGTCAAAAATAAGATTTTAACAAATGCTTTTTACATTTCAGCTTATTGCATTAGGTTTTATGAGCAATCTATTCAACGAAACAAAGATTATATAGTTTTTCCCCTCAGTTATGCTTTCTTATACCCTTTGCATTCGTTTGACTTCACATCTTAAAAAGAGCTTCGTCTGTAGTTTAACTAGACTCTGCACGCAGGGTAGCTTTCTTAATTTAGTTTTTAAAGTTAAAGACAGAATCTATGTACCCTGTAGTTTCAAAAATAAAAATGATCCGGACAAAGGGGGTAGCAGGCCCGTACCCAAGATTTGCCAAGGGATTCACTTCAAATTTGTCTTTTGTTAACTATTTTACGTATGTACACTAATTGCTTGTCTTTTTGTTAATGCATTATATTAGATACCTTTGTTGGATTCAACGTCCCTGGAGGGACACAAATCTTTTCTGCTACCACATCCACAGAATGCATTCAGTTCTGCGAGGATCAATCCGACTGTATGGCCGTAGACTTCGATACAGGAAATCAAGGATGTTTCTCCCATGGAGTTGACAATGTAGAATTCCTATGCAGTAGTGATGCTTTGCAGACTCTCTCATCAAGTACTCACTACAGACTGGTGAACTGCTGTACGTTTTGATATATTGATCGGGCTCAAGTATATTGCATAATGCCCCCCCCCTCCCCTAGTATCATGAAAGAAAACAATGAGCCCATGCCCATGCGTTGCAAATTAAATGCCAACACGTTTTCAACAAAAGCAGTTCATCCAAGCGCACATAAACCGCTAATTACACTGTGGCATTGTCGGCTACTCGCGTGTGTCAACCGCGTCTGCTCGTTGCTATTGCATTGCAGGACTTTCATAGAAGTAGGCAAATAGAAAGCGAGAACAAATCTTAATATTGGACCATTATTCTATGCAACCGTGTACAGATTCTCCTAGAGTCGTATTAGATGAAACTCCTTAATGAGTATACCAGCACACAACTTATCCTGTAATATTCAACCCCTCCAGGCCCGTGGCCAGTGGCTAAAAATTAGACTTAGCGAAAAATGCAATCAAAAACATGCAGGGGTCTTCCTCAATAAATAAATACGATGTGACATGTAAATCCAGAAATTCAGTTATTGACAATGAGTATTATTGGATTTAATTAGGTAATAAAGAATGAGAGTGGAAACAATAAAGTGAATGTGGCAAAATAAGCACTGTAGTAATAAAAAATACTTGAATGAACTATTTATTGAATGGACCTATTGACATTTATAATCTTTAAAATAAACCTTGTTTCATTTTTTGAATGCATTATTCAATTTATAATCCCTTATGTCTTTCGGAATGGCATCCCAATGCAAAGTGCCTTCTTTTCGACTTAGACTTAATCATTTTCGCTATGTACATTGAATACATATCATGTATCATAAGTATGGATAAGTATTAAAACACTGTAGTATGTGACTTGTGGTTTATTTTAAGAGTTAATGATATTGTATGTAACTGTTTTTATGTCTTTGGTCCATATTTACGATTATTTGCTTCCAGCTCTACCTGTTCTCGAACAATACAGTGATGTGAATGTTTTCGGAGGTGTCATTGTACCGGGTGTCACTACAGTGAGGGACTGCCTTAATTCCTGCAATGCGTCCTGCTCAGCTGTTGACTTTAATTTCCTATCAAACCTGTGTTATTCACATGATACAACGACAACTTGTAACTCTTTCAACTTTGTCAATAACATAACACATTACAAAAAGCAAAGGTGTTGTAAGTACATGTATATACTTATATAATATAATGATTATTGCTCAATATACTTTAAAATTTAATATAACGATATATTGTACATAAACCGATTTTCAGTAAAACATCTAGATTTTTACTTGAAATATCCTTATTTTTTGTTCAAAGCTCCCGATTTGTTAACGAGACATCCCGAGTTTTCAGTAAAAACTCCCGTTTTTTGATTGGGAAAACAGTATTTTAGACCAGAAATAAATCGAACGTTCTGGGACTGAGAAATTCCGAACAATTGCAACGCATATAGGATACATTACAATGAAAATTGGAGTGTGGCGAAACGAAATATGCAAACGCATTTCTGTGATAAGAGAAAATGTATAACTCGTACACACCAATCATTTACTGAAAATTGGAGTGTGGCGAAACGAAATATGCAAACGCATTTCTGTGATAAGAGAAAATGTATAACTCGTACACACCAATCATTTATGCCTTGGTCACATAGGCTCCGATTTTCACTACGGCGCCCGGCCGATTGAGTATTTTGTTCAAAATTGAATACAATATTGAACAAAACACTCAATCGCCCGGGCGCCGGCCGATAGATCGGAGCATATGTGACCCAGGCATTACTGAAAATTGGAGTGTGGCGAAACGAAATATGCAAACGCATTTCTGTGATAAGAGAAAATGTATAACTCATACACACCAATCATTTACTGAGTAAACTTTCCACAATGACTATTTGAAATTTGTTTGTAAAGTTTGATTATCGATTTATGTAGCGAAAGTAAAACCAATCCTTTTAATGATTTACATCCAGACAAATGCTTTCGTAATATTTTTTTGTTAATTGCCTGAAGTGTAACATCGATGATTATATAGTTCTGACTACATTTTTACATACCGCCTATTTATTACAATGAACTGAACTATGAACTTCACTTGAACTATGAAGGGTTTTAAATCACCTCGGACAGTCCATTGAAAGCTAGCATTCAAAACATCTTGTTTTTAGAATCTAAAGTATGTGTACCAAGTTAATAATTATATACTAGGTGTCAAATTAATATATCCTCTTTCCCGGACTTCATAGAACAACTGACAAGGAGTTTCAGATGACTAGCTTAACTCGATGCACTTTTATGCACAAAAGTTCACACTTTTGAAATTAAGGGGGAGAACATATTTATTTGACACCCTATAAGTACGTGTAAGGCGTTGGTCTCATTGTGTATTTATAAAAAAATATATATACTTCTTAAAGGGTGACGCATATCGTTTAGCAAATCGAACGCTCGTTTCTGGTGTTGCTCACCGTTTAGTATAAAAGGCCCGATCCCGGAATAATACTCAAGGGTTCACAGGTTCGAGCTCGTTGTGTCAACACCTCTAACTGTTATATAGCATAAGTATATTATAGATCGTCACACATTTATAAAAGGGTAATTTTTATTTTGACAAATCAATTCCACATTTATGGGTGAAGTTTCAGGATCTTCTATTTGTGTACAATAAGGAAAAATTGGCATCTTAATTTCCCCATAACGTAATAGCACACAGCTTGGCATATGAAATATCCTACAAATGAAACAAAGCAAGACAAACCGGTTTCTAATAGAAGGATTTATATTGGCTGTTGGTTGTACATGTATTCTTTGAATGCAATCACTCTTTGGATAACGTTTTCAAAATCATTATAAACGGATTACTTTATCTAAAAGACAATTTCAATAAAATGGATTTTACAGAACTCCCCTTATTTCTTAAAAATGGACTGATCCAGTTGATTCGCCTGGAGCCGCCATATTGTTTTTATACGGGATGCTAATCGGAACCCTTTAATACATCAGCATGACAAAACGTCATATTCGAAATATCTTATCAATCGGCTTTGCAATAAACTTTGCATTGGAAAGAAATTTAATGGACATTCTGTCACCCTGTATATTGGTTAAAATCAATGTATTGGCAACAGGAGATGTAGCCTAGTGAATTGTGGCAGTCTCTCTGCCCCAGCTAATGGAACTGTGACTGGTGGCCCATGGGGCAACTATAGTTGGATTAGCATTGTTCTGCAGATGTTATATAGGATTCACTATTATTTTGAAATAGATATCGTTCTTGACAGTGAAAGGTCCTAAATATCAAAAAGTGATGCGAATTTCTGTTGTCTTTATATTCTCCAACAGCAGGAGGCGTGGCCCAGGTGGATTGTGGTAGCCTCCCTGCTCCAGCTAATGGAACTGTGACTGGTGGTGCAACTACAGTGGGTTTAGGCCAATATTTCAGCTGTAATACGGGATTCACTATAAGCGGTAGCACCGTTAGATTCTGTCAACTGAATGGAACCTATGATGGCACAGCTCCTACATGTACAAGTATGAAATAAAATTATTTATCATTAGATTATCATGAGAGTCTGTCAACTGAATGGAACCTATGATGGCACAGCTCCTACATGTACAAGTATGAAATAACATTAGATATCAACAACACACCACAAGATACATCCCCAACCTTCACATCTGCTTACTATTTAAAACTTTGGAATATTGTATATCTAGTTATAGACTATGTGCCAACTAGTTTATCAACTCATTAAAACTTATAGGATGGTGTCTAAAGAGCTTATTCACTTTATTCATTTAGCAGTCTAGTATAGTCCATGGTATGACATCTCTAGGACGTCTAATAAAGGAGCTTGTAGCACACTATAGCGCAGCGATATTTAACCTAATATTAATATACCTACATAATATGTTCCCTTATAATTTTTATTATAACCGTTTAATATACTTCCGGCTTTTATTTTGAATTATGCCTGTCATTAGCAGAGGTAAAACAATTACCAAAAACTAAAAAAATCTTTTCGCTATTTGGAGTTCACAATGCGACAAAAAATAATACAAAATAGTTTTGAATATAGAATTTAGGTGTCTAGGTTATAAGTTTTTTAATCTGAAAACATAAAAAAAAATCTAATCTCGACGTTTTATAGTTTATCAGATATAAATGAGATAAATGGTATACATGAATCACTTTTATATTAGAATGACAAATGCTTAATGTATGCTAGTTTTTTTAATTGTCCTCTCAATGTTATTCCGCTGCGAACATTTTCAACAAAGGAGGCGCTATTGCTCTTCCTTGACTAATTGCGACTACAGCTAAAATTTTCGTAGTTAAATATTGCTCGTTTGCTTATAAAACAACTATATCTAGACTTTAAAGTTTCTGTATTGCATCTAAACAATTTAGATAATGTATGTTATACTGTTAAGCTATATATTATATGCTTTGTGATTGCTCTGCAATAATTTTTGATATATGCACTGATACGCCCAATTACTAAGGGTGTCGAGTGCACATGCTTTGTACATTCCATTGTTATATTATCATGAAATAAATAAAAAAATAAAAAAAAATAAAAAAAATATATATACTTGGTTGGATTCATGAATCATTGAGGAAAATCGTTATCATTATCTTCCTAAAACTTGATGATATCCAGCAGTAAGGTCAAAGAAACAAAATAGTTTTTCCCTTTGTGATGAAATACATTTTTCGACCTGAAAGCCGGAAGTTTTTTCAGCAAATGGTATTTAAAAAGAATCAAGACATATGCACCTCCTTAAATATTGCTTCAAATGTTGCTGCGCTATAGTGTGCTATGGATCCTTCATATTCCATGGACAAATAATGTCACTTTGATAAAAAAAAATTCAAATAAATCTTGACCCTTTTTGGTTGACACGCTACAGCGTATTTGAAACGTGAATGATGTCAAATTTTGCAGGCGGGCAATTATGTTTGTAATCAAATTTGATCTCATTCAGACCTGAATTGTAAGAATGACATTAACAAACAAGTAGTATGATCAACCTGATTGGTATATTAATTGATTATCAACAACTGTTTTTGATTTAGTTGTGGATTGTGGTTCGCTTGACACTCCTACAAACGGCACACTGAACATAACAGGGACTGTTTACAATTCAGTAGCGGACTTCACGTGTGATACTGGGTTCACTTTGTTTGGCAGTCCTACAAGAATATGCTTATCTCTTGGAGTATGGAGTGGACGACAGCCTGAATGTTTTTGTGAGTATCTTCGTGGACATCAAGAAACGGATAGACATTTTAGTTCTGTTTTAATTAGTTTCAATCCCATCAACTTTTAATTGAAATTATTCGTGAGATGACTAATCAAAGGATCACTGAGATCTCTTTCCCGGTAAAAAATCAAGGGTCTAAACGTTGAATCGGTGAATGGTTCAAAACTATTTTTATGAATCCATGGTATGTTCTACCATTTTATGAGATTGTTGAGTTTTAAATCTTCCATAATCGCATTTTTAATCAATTAGCGGGATTCATGTTAGAGCGACGACAACATTTGTAAATCTGAAAACCTTATTTGGATCAACCAAACTCAAACACTACAATTCCCAATTTTTTATCTATTGATATTTCAATGCTACCTCATAGTGAACTACTGTCCAAGTCTACCAGAGATTGCCAATGGTATTAAGAGTGGAAATGGCACAGCATACAACACTGTTGTAAACTACACGTGTGATACAGGATACACACTCGTTGGTAGCAGTAGCAGGCTATGTTTGGCTAATAGTACTTGGTCGGGCACTAACACCACTTGCATAAGTAAGTATACACTCAATCATTTTGGCATATAACACTGTTGTAAACTACACGTGTGATACAGGATACACCCTCGTTGGTAGCAGTAGCAGGCTGTGTTTGGCTAACAGTACTTGGTCGGGCACTGACACCACATGCATAAGTAAGTATACACTCAATCATTTTGGCATATAACTCTGTTGTAAACTACACGTGTGATACAGGATACACCCTCGTTGGTAGCAGTAGCAGGCTGTGTTTGGCTAACAGTACTTGGTCGGGCACTAACACCACTTGCACAAGTAAGTATACACTCGATCATTTTTGGCATATAACACTGTTGTAAACTACACGTGTGATACAGGATACACTCTCGTTGGTAGCAGTAGCAGGCTATGTTTGGCTAACAGCACTTGGTCGGGCACTAACACCACGTGCATTAATAAGTTTTGAAGCCGAATTCCTGTATGATATGTTGAGTTCTTTGTACTTAAACCCCACTTATAAAACAATTCACTTATTACACACTATTCACCCATTCAAAAGTTGAACAGTAAACGTAAAAGAAATTAAACTTCCAACTGCACCTGGCCTGTGTCATGCAGTGCACTGAAGCTGAACTTTTTACACCCATTCATTTTTCAACACACTTTTCTCATACTTAGTCAATACAACAGAATTTTTTCTAAAATTGGATCATGTGCCATTTCCCTGTCGTAAAAGTCGGTGTGGGGTTTAGCTAGATAAACCATTCGTACAAGGTCTTCAAGAAGTAATAGCCTTGTACCAAGGCCTTCGGCTATTATTTCCCCAAAGAACAGTACTTATAGTTTATCCATTACAAATACGGAGTTAGACCTCACCAACCCACTTCATTTCGCATAGAATAGAAAGAAACTGTGCCTCCTGGGCTTCGATACCCGCATGGGATGCGTCATTTATGTGTAAATTGATAACAAGTTTGATAAAGATTAAAATAACATTTGAATCTTAGCTGAATACCCCTACCTTTGAAATATAATTCCTACAAATGACATTTAAATGATCATATTTGGGGATATGTAAGCAAGATCGTTAGATCGTTGTCATTCACTTTCACTCATGAATTTGTCAAACATGCACATTGGTCTATTGCATCAAATATTTGACACATCGGGTCAGTCAGTGTGTATATCAATGGAAAATTAAAGATGTACTCTAATTATCCAAAGTATTTTATGTGTTTTAGCAATCTTAATGTGATGCCATTGTCACTTTACCTTTCTACTTTTTCAGTAAATGACTGCGGAACACTTCCAGCTCCCAGTAATGGTACAGTTGATTCAACTACTAGCACCTTTAATACTACTGTTACATTCTCATGTGACGACGGATATAGTCTCTCTGGAAGTACAAGCAGAACGTGCCAGGCCAATTCAACATGGGATGGTACAGAGACAGTCTGTACAAGTAAGTCCAAACTACCAAATATGAAAATATATTATATGTACATAAACACAATGTTCGAATAAAATGTAATATAACACATATATAGTTTGACGATCATTTAAACTGATAAATTACCATTGGAAAATGAATAGTTTAAGGGGAAACGGTTAGTTAATTATAAACTTGACTACATGATATGTTTCATAACTCTTAATTGCCCCATGAACAAATTGAAGGTTAAATGTAGGTCAAAGATCGACGTTTCTAAGCGTCCATTTGTTTTGTGCAATAAGTTATGTTTGGTAGGAGATTGGTATATTGGTCGTTCGTTGATTTTTTCAATGAAGCTAACGTATTAACCCTCTCAAATTCGAGTTTTTATTAAGTACCTGACCTTTAAGCTATTATTCAGTGTACGATTTGTGTCTCAACTTTTCTAGTTAGAGATTGTGGGGAGTTGAATCCTCCAATAGGGTATGCCTCGGCGACCGGAAGTAGCTATTTTCCCAACTCAGTTGTCACATTCACCTGTCAGACTGGTTACACTCTCTTCGGAAGCTCATCTAGGACATGCCAAAATGACGGCACGTGGTCAGGAACTGAAACCAATTGCACAAGTAAGCTTCTTTGAAATCTAAATCTCAAATGCTAAACATGAAGAAACTATGGTGAGTTCCTCAAAAGTTTGTCAGAGTGACGATATGTGTTCAGGATCAGAAACCTAGTGCAAAAGTTAGCTTCTTTGAAATCTTAATCTCAAATTCTAAACATGAAGAAACTATAGTGAGTTCCTCAATGTCAGAGTGATTGCACGTGTTCAAGAACTGAAACAAAATCGAATCCTCTGTAACTATCCTTGCATATCCCATTAATGACTTTTGATACAGTAAATGTCATCAAAACCAGACATTTTACCATTAATCAATTGGTTTTGTCACAAAATGCTTGAATAGATATCAGTTTGTGGCTTCATTTTAAATTTTCCCTCTCGTTGTAGTTATAGATTGTGGTGTCCTAGCTACTCCTGGTAATGGGTCAGTCTCCGGGAGCAGCACAACAACTTATAACTCAGTGATAGTGTTCAAATGCAACACTGGATACACGTTGTCGGGTAGTTCTGTCAGAACTTGTCAAGTTGACAGTACTTGGAGTGGATCAGATGCATCGTGTACTAGTAGGTGTATAAAATTAGATGTATCTTCAAGTTTACCAAAAATATAATCGTGTGGTCAACGCTACCATGTGGATGTTTTAAATGTTCATAACCCTTAATCAACGATACTAGAATTACTATACTATATCTACATTGTTTATCACAGACACAATCATTTATTGGTACAGTGGACAAAAAAACATTTACGAATAATCAAGGTATGAACTACCATCGTAAACGAATCAATCAATTCCCGTTTGTTGTATTTTGTTTAGTCGTGGACTGTGGCTCGCTGGACACACCCGCTAACAGTACGTTGGTCATAACAGGAACAGTCTACAATTCAGTAGCGACTTTCACGTGTCCGACTGGATATAATTTAAAAGGCAATTCTTCAAGGACATGCTTATCAACAGGAATGTGGAGTAATCATCAGCCAGAGTGTGAAAGTACGTATGTTGCAGTTGAATTGCAAACTGTTGCATTGGTTAGCTCCTTTTATCTAATATTTAGGTTTTCTTCTCTATATGTATATGTATAAGTGACAGGCCTACATTTACATTCAGATAATCTTTTGCAATTCTGTGTTCAGAGGCGACGAGGTGTGCTTATAACGTCACAAATAGAAACAAGAGTGGCATATTTCAATATTTCATACTCACGGGTTCCCAACTATGACCGTTAATTTGAATTTTAGAACTTACCAGGTGTTTGAAAATCGAGGATCGTGAGTCTCATACTGCACTGTTTGCTCTCAAACTTATTCCATTAAATACAAAACAAAATTTCTGTTGATACATTATACTAATACACAAAGTCCCTCTTCTTTTAGCGGTGTTTCCTTCTCACAGCTGGGGACCCAAACGCCGCTAAAACGAGGAACTTAATAATGTACAATAAAGCTATGCACGGAAAAGCCTTTGAATGGAACAAGTTTGAAGTAAAACGGTGCAGTATGAGACTCATCGTCCTTGATTTTCAAACACCTACTAGGTCTTAATATCAAATTAACTGTCGTAGTTGGGACCACGAGATATAGAACTATGCTGCTGTTATACCGGATAAAATATTACTTGATTAGTTGAATGGGAACATATTTCTGTAAATATGTTCATGTGTGTTCTGTAAAAGTTATGTTTTGTTAATATACTTTTTGGAGAATAGAATTGCAATTTCTAGTAAATTTCTCACAAAAAATCGTTTTAAAAACTATTTTCATTTTTATATTTAAGTCGTAGACTGTGGACAGCTAAATCCCCCTATAGGATATGCCTCTGTTACTGGCAGTAGCTACACATACAACTCAGTTGTGACATTCACCTGTCAGACTGACTACACTCTCTTAGGAAACTCATCTCGGACATGCCAAATTGACAGCACGTGGTCAGGAACTGAAACCAATTGCACAAGTAAGCTTCTTTGAAATCTAAATCTCAAATGCTAAATATGAAGAAACTATAGTGAGTTCCTCAATGGTATGTCATGGTAATGCTACGTGGTCATTTATTGAAGCAAATTCCACAAGTAAGCTTCCTTGAAATCTAAATCTCAAATGTTAAACATGAGGAGACAATAGTGAGTTCCCATAAAGGTTTCGTCAGAGTGACGGCATGTGGTCAGAAACTGACACCAATATGTATTACTTGGTATATTTGCATCAGAGATTGGTGAAAATAATAATAATTTGCTTTTCCTAGCCTTGCCCAAGTCGGTCTCTTTTACTATCTGATTTCTATTATGACCGGCGGTAATAATTCAAGATCAGATAAGTAAAAAATACCGACTTGGGCAAGGCTATGCTTTTCCTTGTAGTTATAGATTGTGGTGCTCTAGATACTCCTGGTAATGGGTCAGTGTCGGGGAGCGACGTGACAACTTATAACTCGGTGATAGCATTTGAATGCAACACTGGATATACGTTGTCTGGAAGTTCTGTCAGAACTTGTCAAGTTGACGGCACTTGGAGTGGATCAAATACATCCTGTACTGGTAGGTACATGAAATCAGATTGATCTTTGAATTTTCAAAATTTATTATCTGTTCAGTTCCGTTTACACCGAGCTGTCTTTTTGATCCCCAGTGTATTTTAATTGTATAAAAGACTATGCAACTTGATCAGTCTTGCGAAGTCCTTTATAAATCAATCCGATACTATTACCATTTGGAGTCAATTGAAGAGAATTGTCTGCAATGAAGAGACCGCCGTGAAATGAGCAGTTTCATTCTTTCATCGTACTTTTATTTATTAAATGCTGCATGCCCCATGACAACAGAGACCTCCATGCATGATTTCACAATATCAACAGAACTACAATGAACTCGACTAGATTCCATCGAACTCAGGACGACTCAATAGCTCTCTGTAAGACACAGTGGGCTATCGTACAAGACACTTTTAAGTCTTCGCCGGTCTCCAGAGGAAAATAAATCAAAACAAATTAAGAGGATTAAGAGTGTCTTGTGAAAATATATCAACGATTAAACATAGCTTGCTAAAGATACTTATTTTTCCAGTTCGGGTCACAAACAATTTAGAACAGAAAGTTTAATATTTCTAATTAAAATATCCCTCCCGATGCATTTGCATCATTTTAAACAGTTGTATACTTGTTCCCTGGAGCTAAAATGTTTTGAGACCCTTGACTGATTGAAAGAAATTATTTCCCTACTTGTGAATAGTTTTTTTTCTTTATTCATCAAACATAAAATGTATACATATAGGTGAAAAATTATACAAGTCACTCCATTACCCATTCATTCACATTCTCCACTCATACCACCATACTGTTAAAATCCATATTCATTTTTAAACAATAATATAAATATGCCTTAAAGTTGTAGTTATTTGGAGGCTCTTGTTGCATTTTCTTATTATATAAGTAGTACTTTCCTATAATAATTACCATATTTTCAAAATCACTCCTTTTTGGGCTACCAAAGAATACTGTAAGCAGACAAAAAATTTCGAGATCTTTTAATGTATTATCTATTATTGATTTCCAAAACTGTTTCGTATAATCACAATTAAAGAAGATGTGGTCACAAGTTTCTATGTTCACATGGCAAAACTCACATATTGGTGAAGGTGTTATTTTGTATTGAAAGAGTTCACTGTTTGTATACAGGATATTGCTTAAGAGCTTATATTGAAATGCCTTATGTTTTGAATATGTCAGGGTTTTATGAAAGTGTTCATAGTAAAATGACCAATCTTCTTCTTTAATATGATATTTATCTGATAAAGTGTGTTTTGCTGTTGGATATTCTGCAATAGCTTCCAACAATATTTTATAAAATTCTCTCGATGTACATTTTAAAAAGTTGACTTCTGTATCACTTTTTATTACCATTATATTTTCTAGAGATACCTGGTCATTCATATTTACATTCGGTACTCTTAACCAATCTGATGGTATTGCCTGAATGAGGCCAAACCATTTTAGCATATAATTGTGTGAGAGTCCAGTTTGCATTTTGACCTGATTCCATGATTTAACCATTCCATTAAGCATAACATTTTGATTCTTAGAAAACCTTTATCATAAAATTCCTTCCAAAATATTGATTTATTTCTGATGACAATGTTCTCATTATTCCAAATTATTTCATCCAATGCATTTTTCTTTGGTCTCCTTATAAACGTATATGCCTTTAAAATACTATGATAAAATATTGGGCTAATTTCATTTAGTTTATTTATGTCAAAATTGCAGTTAAGTAAAAGTAAAAGCCCGCCATATTTATGGAGATAATGATTTGGAATAATTGTCCATTGTGATTCCTTTATAGTATCCTTTAAAAGCTTTTGGGCCTATCTTAATTGAGAGGTTTGAATTTTGGTTTTGAGGTCGCTCATGTTGAGTCCTCCTTTTTTAATTGTTGAAATAAGTGCTTTTCTTTTAATCTAATAAAGCTAAATTTTGACAGCCCAAAAGTTTTTACGATCTGTATTTTACCTAAAATTTTCAAATTTCTTCTTTGCCATAGGCTCAATACCTGCTTAAGGTGATTAATTGTCGACCTCAAATTTTTCTCTGCTTTGAGCTTTCTATCATAATTATAATACACTCCAAGAATTTTAATTTCTTGAACTTGTTTTAAATGTTCAATGTCCCAAATTTGATCTTTAAATCTTCCTATTGTAAAGAGCTCAGTTTTGTCTAAGTTTGTTTTAAGGCCACTGCATTTTTTGCATTACTTTTGAATAGTTGTTGACTGTGGCGTACCCTACACAAGTAATGGTCTAAACGTTTCCTACACCACGACACTTGTTGGGTCAAATGCGACCTACACTTGTCCCACAGGCACAACTCTAATTGATGGCAACGATATCACATGTTTGTCTAGTGGCTTATGGAGTTACACTGCAGCAAGGTGTTGTATATCAAAAGGTACATTTTCAAAGTAGGTTAACCAAGCATTTCGTTCAGTTACTTCTTTTCGCTATTGAGAAATCGCCGATTACCAATTACATCAGTTCAGATAGCATACCCAGTCGAAATCTTGTAGAAGCGGTGACATATTGAACATACGTATATGGTTTAACTCATCAACAATTTTTAAGCTGTATTTACTACATCTCATGACTAATAAACGGGTTACAGATTATATCTACATCTCAAAAGAACAGTTCTTGCAAGATATTTGTTAGGATCTTACATGAACGATAACATAAACCAATATATGATTGACTAAGAAACAGGTTTCAGACTATATGTACATCTCAAAAGAACAGTTCTTGCAAGATATTTGTTAGGATCTTACATGAACGATAACATAAACCAATATATGCTTGACTAAGAAACAGGTTTCAAACTATATGTACATCTCAAAAGAACAGTTCTTGCAAGATATTTGCCAGGATCTTACATGAACAATAACATAAACCAATAAATGTTTTGACTCATAAACGGGTTTCCGACTATTTCTACATCTCAAAAGAACACTTCAAACAAGACATTTGTTAGGATCTTACATGAACGGTGACATATACCAATAAATGTTATGACTCAAATCGAGTTTCAGACTATTTCTACATCTCAAAAGAACACTTCAAACAAGACATTTGTTAGGATCTTACATGAACGGTGACATATACCAATAACTGTTTTTACTCCTAAACGGTTTTCAGACTACATTTTCTGCATCTCAAAAGAACAGTTCATACAAGACATTTATTAGGATTTTACATGAACGGTGATATAAACCAATAACTGTTTTTACTCCTGAACGGTTTTAGACTATTTCTACATCTCAAAAGAACAGTTCATACAAGGCTTTGTTAAGATCTTACATGAACGGTGACATACACCAATAAATGTTTTGACTCTTAAACGGTTTTCAGACTATTTCTACATCTCAAAAGAACAATTCATGTGATACACTTGTAAGGTTTTTATTTGAACGGTGACATAAACCAATAAATGGTTAAAAACATAAGGTTCTTTATACTATTTTTCACAAATCATGAACTGTTTTCAGACTATATTCATCAGATCTTAACTGAACAGTTCGTAACATATAATCTGTTTGGATGTTGCATGAACGGTGCTATTAACCAATAAATATTTTGACTCATAAACGGTTTTCAGATTATATCTATTACATGCCTATGGAGGAGATACAATCACCAGACACTCTGGTAGGGTCTTGCATCACTGGTAAAATCAATAACAACGCCAGTCTCGTTGAGGGAAGGATCGGTAAGGGATTAAATTTAGATGGAATAAACCAATCGGTAGACCTAGGAAATCGAAGGACGGAATGCTTTGGTGGGTGTACTTTGTATACTTCAATGTTTTATAAATATTTGTTTAGTTTTAAAATATATCAAAATCGCGTGTATCGTATACGTACAAGGGTCGTTCGAAAAGTCTTGCACGACAGCTTCCCAAGAGAAGAGATTTTATCATTTTTATGTGAAATTTCATACAGATATAGTATTACCCTTTTTACAAGCTTATATGTAATTCCAGGACCACAAGCAATGTACTTCCTGAGATACATTTACTTAGAAATTTGAACCAATGGCCCTATGGTACATATGACATCATTAGATTGAATTGATTTTGTGAATGCCTTTATAGACTGAAATGATTCCGTCAATCTTTGTTCTTTCAGCTGTTAATCAGGTTATATTATAACTAATTTATATTTAATCTAAATATACAGTACTTAATATATAGACTTCCTTTTCAGTAATGCATTATACTTGTAGCATTACGTCCAGTCCATAAGCAAATGTCTGAAACATCCTACCTATAGGATATCAAGCCCTCTCATAAGTACAGCTACCCTCAATACACTTCCCTTCTCTTATTCAATCTTGGAATACTTAGCAAACCCTATTGGAGTCATCATATGCAATATGTCTTTATCATGAATGGATATAACTTGTGTAATACTGTTTCCCCATTCTTTATCATGTATTCTATCAATGGATGTTTTCTGCTCCAACGTTATTATTTCGAACCATATTCTCCAATATTTTCAAGATGTTTGAAGAGTACGTTTACAGTCATTCTTTGACATAACCAAAGAAAACAAGCTGGGGAATATTGAGATAAGGTTCACATTTTCCATTGAGAACAATAGTAGAAATTGTTTACATTTAAATTGACAGTTTATGAAAGTTAATTTAGCGTACTTTATAACATCGATCTTTATGTGTTACTAGTTATCTTTTACAAAATGATATGTACCATAGCGTCATCACCGTGGTTACTATAGCAACCGTAAAATGTTAAGTAGTAGGCATGTATACATGAAACTTTGACAGTGTAAGGGAATAAGATATGGGCACATACATACCAACTATGAACAAGATTGGTCCATTATGTTCACAATTAGACATATTTGTGCAAAACTTTTTGAACAACCCTTGTATTTATCATCATTATGCATTATTAATTGACAATAAGAACTAGAGTTTAAAGATTGCAAGCAATCTTACGGAGGCCCCGTAGGCTCTTTTTGGCCTTTTGGAGGTCAGCCAAAGGTCAATTCTCAGTTACAACGGCATATATGAACTCCAGGGAACTTGTAGATGATTTCTTTTAAAAAGAAATTGGTCAATTTCAAGCAAGTTGAAATTACGTCTTGAAAAGTTTCGAAATTTTACCTTTTTTTCAGTTTTTGAGTACTAATATCTCAAGACTGGTGCACAATTTTAACAAATAGTCAATGGATAATATGTGTAGAACCTTTAGAGGAATATATATCCTGACTTTCATGAAAAAATATTGATTTGTAGTCACCAATTCTGAGAAACTAAGAAAACACAGTTCGTGATTTAGTTTGATGACCTTGACCTTTGACCTTGCAAATTTTACTTTTTAGGTCTCGGTAGGTCTTTTACTATTAAATATACCTAAATTTAAATCCAGAAAATCAATTTGAAAAATTAACTTTTTCTTACATTTCGGAGGTCACTGAAGGTCAAACAAAGGTCAAAGGTCAAAAGTAAGGTCAGATTTGGAATTCTGAGAACTTGTAGATGTTTTTTAAAAAAGAGTTTGGTCAATTTAGATCAAGTTGAAATTTGACCTTGAAAAATTTCGAAATTTGACCTTTTTCAGTTTTTGAGCTCTAATATGCAAAATTTTAATAGATAATCAATTACTAATTTGTGTAGAACCTTTAGAGGAATATATATCTCGACTTTCATTAAAAAATATTGATTTGTAGTCACCAATTTTGAGAAACTTAGAAAACACAGTTTGAAGTTTAATTCAATGACCTTGACCTTTGACCTTGCAAATTTTACTTTTTTAGTCCTCAGCAGGTATTTTGTAATTATTTATACCTAAATTTAAATCCAGAAAATCGACTTCTTTGACCTTTCGGAGGTCACCGAAGGTCAACCAAAGGTCACAGGTCAAAAGTAAGGTCAGATTTTGAAACCTGACAACTTGTAGATGATGTTTAAAAAGCAAAATTGGTCAATGTGAAGCAAGTTGAAAAAATACCTTTTTTGACCTTTTTTGACCTTCAATATCTCAAAATCTGGGCAAAATTTCTCTAGACGGCAAAAGGCTAACACTAATAGAATATAAATATCTATCTGTATGCAAAAATTCAGGCAAATATATAGGAGTGTAGTGTCAGGATTTGAGAAACGGGAAAAAAGCTTTGATTCGACCTAGATTTTGACCTTTGACCTTGACCTAGATAAAAAGTTCTTTCCCCCAAGTTCAGCCAAGGTCCCTGGAAGGTGCATGTAGGAGATGGTTTAAAGGTAGTTGGAATTAGGAGAAAAGGATTTAGGAAGAATTAAGAATAACTAGAGATCAAGATTGCAAGCAATCTTACGGAGGCCCGTAGGCGTTTTGGCCTTATATGGTCAACAAATGGTCAACAGTAGTTATTAACTTACTAAGTAAGTTACTAAATTAGTAACTAAGTATATTACCAAGTAAGTTATGAAGTTGGTTACCTGGTTTCTTCCAAGGTCAACAAAAGGTCAAAACTAAAGTCAGATTTGAACTCCTGATAACTTGTAGATGGATTTTAAAAACAAGTTTGGTCAATTTAGAGCAAGTTGAAATTTAACCTTAAAAAAATTCGACTTTTTTTAGTGTTTGAGTTCTAATATCTCAAAACTGGTGAAAAATGTAATAGATAATCAATAGCTAATGTGTGTAGAACCTTAAGAGATATGAATATTCTGACTTTCATTAACAAATATTGATTTGTAGTCACCAATTCTGAGAAACTTAGAAAACACAGTTTGTGATTTAGCTTGATGACCTTGACCTTTGACCTTGCAAATTTTACTTTTTTAGACCTCAGTATGTCTTTTGTGACTAAATATACCTAAATTTAAATCCAGAAAATCGATTTGTAAAAATCAACTTTTTTGACCTTTCGGAGGTCACTGAAGGTAATCTAAAGGTCGAAGTTCAAAAGTAAGGTCAGATTTGGAATCCTGAAAACTTATAGATGAGTTTAAAAAAAAAGTTTGGTAAATTTAGATCGAGTTGAGATTTGACCTTGAAAAATTTCGAAATTTGACCTTTTTCAGATTTTGAGCTCTAATATCTCAAAACTAGTGCAAGATTTTAATAGATAATCAATAGCTAATATGTGCAGAACCTTTAAAGGAATATATATCCAAAATATTGACTTGTAGAAACCAATTCTGAGAAACTTAGAAAACACAGTTCATGATTTAGCTTGATGACCTTGACCTTTGACCTTGCCAAATTTTACTTTTTTAGGCCTAAGTAGGTCTTTTGTGATTAAATATACCTAAATTTAAATCCAGAAAATCGATTTGAAAAGGTCAAAAATAAGGTCAGATTTGGAATCCTGAGAACTTGTAGATGTTTTTTTTTTAAAAAGTTTGGTCAATTTAGATCAAGATGAAATTTGACCTTGAAAAATTTCGAAATTTGATCTTTTTCAGTTTTTGAGCTCTTAATATCTCAAAACTGGTGCAAAATTTTAATAGATAATCAATTGCTAATATGTGGAAAACCTTTAGAGAAATATATATATTCTGACTTTCATTAAAAAATATTGATTTCTAATCACCAATTTTGAGAAACTTAGAAAACACAGTTTGTGATTTTATTTAATGACCTTGACATTTGACCTTGCAAATTTTACTTTTTTGGACCTCTTTAGGTCTTTTGTGATTAAATGCACCTAAATTTGAATCCAGAAAATCGATTTGAAAAATCAACCTTTTTGACCTTTCGGAGGTCACTGAAGGTCAAATAAAGGTCAAAGGTCAAAAGTAAGGTCAGATTTGGAATCCTGACAATTTGTAGAAGAGTTTTTAAAAAAATTTGATCAATTTGAAGCAAGTTAAAAAATGACCTTTTTTGACCTTCAATATCTCAAAATCTGTGCAAAATTTGTCTAGACGGCAAAAAGCTAAGACTAATAAAATACCAATATCTATCTGTATGCAAAAATTCAGCCAAAAATATTGAAGTGTAGAGTCAGGATTCGAGAAACTTGAAAAAAATTAGATTAAAATATTAGTCCACAGATCTCTTTATTTTCTAAAATCCCTCATAAGACAACTACAATCTACGCTCTTGAATAAATGTGCCCTATTTACGTGTACTCGTTGACACGAATTTTGAACGTGATGGTTATCAGCATGTATGTTCACAAAATATGGATGTCTAATATCCAATACAACATCATTTACAGTATAATGGCACTATTGAGCACATACTGGTTCGTTTCATATTGTTAGTTTTGTAAATTTGAGAGACGATACAGGATATACCACCCCAAAATGCAAAAGTGAGCGGTCGTCGTCGACACGGCGATTTGAGTATCTTATTATTAAAAATGTCACATATAAGTGTTGAAATATGTTTGAATTGCGCACAATGTTTTATCACAGTCCAATAAACACATCCTGAAATAAACGAATTATTAGCAATTTTAGAATACGCAAGGTATCAGTCCAGTGTGACACGTGTCCAGTGTGACATGTTTTCAAGGCTGTGTACTAAAAACTCCCGCGGTACATTTAGTTATATTATACTGCGCTATAAGACCACCAATAGAGGAAATATACCTGTTCACAATGTTTATTATATTTTATTTTCATTCTTTTTTAATGTAAGATGTCCATATGCACGTCACTGAGGAATGATTTTGACGGCCATTTTGAATTTTCGCAAGATTTTGCATTCAAAAGTTGTATATTATAAATCAATATACCATGGTTGTTTTCTACAATATGAACATAAATAAAGTATACCAATGCTTTAATTTCCGAAAAAATTCTGAACAAAAAATTTAAAAA